GATGTTTGTTAATTAGGTGCAGTGGAAACCCACTTTTACCAGGTTATCTATCCGTTGGAACTTGTTCTGTCTAAAACAGTGCAAGATTAACCTTTCAAAATTTTTAAAATTCCAGTCCATTGTGCACTAATGACTTGCTCAAAGACTAAGATAGATTCAGAAACAGAATTTTTATTTCTTTTTTTTTAAGAAGGTCTTACATGACAATAGCTATCCTTTGGATGTGGTGCAATTTTTATGAAGACAAAGAACAGTTTCCTCACAGAATACTAATACCAATTTTGTAATTCCCTAAAATAAATCCAAGGAAATTCCCTGAGTAATGAGGATTAAAGGATTATACAATTAAGTCATATGTAAGTATACAACTTTGGAAAATGTCAAGATATAGAACAGTAAACAAAAAGGACAAAAAAAAAGAAACACAGAAAACAGTGCGGAAATCAGTAGAAACTCTTTTCTCAGGGGGATCTGTTAACAGACAAGACCAAAAGAAACATTATATAAGCCTATGTGATGAAAGCTTAAAAATAAATCGACATAAAATAGGAAGTTTTATATTCAATCTCTTGCGGTAAAGAAAATTTTAAAATATGTCTTTAATATCTGTTAAACTAGAGGTGCTTATTTAAGTAAAAAGAATGTTTGAAAACCCTCCCTTCTTAGAAAATTTGAAACCAAGCACAAAACATTGTAAATGTGTTATGAAAGTGCCAGTTTCATGATGGAACTTTCGTTTCAGTTTGAAAATGGCACATTTATAAAGTGATAGTTTCATGATAAAACCTGAAGATTCCAAGACTGGAATTTCATTTTAACCTTTAGCACTCTGCATGATTAATATTAATTCTCTTACCATTGCAGTATCCCTATTGTTAATTTCACTCAAAGTTGTTTTCTGTTGCCATAGCAGGATATGACAACACCACTATGAAATTCAAATTCAGGGATCAGGTCACTATCAGTGGCAGGATAAACTTTTTGTACAGCAAATGAAATCTCATACACAGTGATAAAGGTTAATTAGAGAATGGCACATTTATAAAGTGACAGTTTCATTGTAAAACCGGAAGATTCCATGATGGAAATTTTGTTTCAGTTAGAAAATGGCACATTTATAAAGCTCCAACATTTTTTCTTGCATAATACACAGAATCAAATTCAATCTTTATTAGAAGGACAAAAACATTCTACACTTCAATCCTAATTAAAAGACTACATGACAATTGTTGAGAATAAAGTGACCATTTGAATGTTGTTATAGGCTATGATTGGAATGTGATCTTCAAATTCTAGAGAAGGGAATATAGATATCCAATTAAAATAAAAGATAATGAAACAGTAGCAGCCAAATTACCAGTTTTACAATTAGTATAATGTAACTTAATCAATATTACAACCAAATTACATTAAGGCCTAAATGCCACTCCTTTTGCTCAAAGAGGGAAGGCTTCAAAGAGTAAATATATATTGTTTTCAATACTTTCAAGTTCAAGAGGGCCAGATTCAAAACTGAGAACATGTCTTTATTATAGCACATAGCACACTGATCGTCATGTAACAAATGATTAGCAGTTGCAGACCTGGATGATTTGACACACATATGCAAATTATTAAATTGCCCTTTATGATTACAAGCTGGCATATATTGGCTTATTCTCATTTTCAACCTCTGGCTAGTATATGCCAGCTAGTATTTGTAAAGGGCAATTCAAAAATTTGCATAGGTGTGTCAATACATCCAGGTTTGAAATAGCTGAACATGTTACATAACCATCAGTGTGCTGTGTTGTATCAAAGAGATCTTCTCAGTTTGGAGTTGAACACATTCAGACTTTCACTTGAAAGTACTGAAGGCAATATATATTAAGTCCTTACAGCCTTCTCTTTATAAACAAAACGAATGGCATTTGGGTTTGAATGCTGGTTAGGTCTTGCTGTACTGATTCTAAAACTGCTAATTTCCCTTGCTAAATATTTTCCAAACTTTAATATAAAATAGCAGTAGCCTCTTGGAATTAAACAATCTGTTCATTTTCAGATATAAAGGATGTTCCAATAACTTGGAACAATTTTAAACTTAATTCACATTTAAAATTGGTTCGAGTTATTGGAACACCCTTGATGGCACATTTGACAGTGTAATAAAGTGGGGATTATCTAAAAGGACGCTCTGAAAGTAACGCCTCCTATTTCTTTCAATGGAAACTATAACAAATACAGGGAGCATAATAGAGTAAGTTTTTAACCTGTAACAATTTTTTCTTTAGATACGCATTATTCACTGCCTGTGCTCACCTCCACTGTTTGGTCTCCATAAACGTTCAGTAAGTGTCAATGAATGTCAAATAAGCACAAGTTTTTGAATTTGGAGGCATTCAGTGATATTTCTCTATTTCTTATACACTTTCATGCCAGCTGCCATTTTGCCAGACTGTGCTTTTTTTTTTTTTTATCTCAGGGACTAAATTGAGATGATGGTTATTGGCAAGAAGGTTTGACCTCTACTGCCATGCCACGAACATATATCTGACATTGGTGACCAACATAAATTAGGAGGCGTTACTTTCGGAGCATTAAAAAAAAAATAAAAAATAAAAATAATATATATATATATATAATACCATTATAACTGTGCTGGATTCACTAGATCTTGGTTTTGCTAAAATTAACAGCTTAAGACTAAAGATCTCAACCATATGAGCCATGTTACCTCCCGTAAGGAATCCTGAAATTTTTCTTAAAGCATTGAAAGTTAATGGTTATCACCACAATTATAAAGAGTTTAGCTCATACATTAATAGTGCTATATAAATATATATATATGCATACACGAGGTCTGTCTGAAAAGTAACAGGAACAGTGTCACAAACAATTTATTTAAATTCCAAACAACTACACATTTTCCTCTTCAAAGTGATCTCTCTTGAATTTCATGTACTTTTCCATCCTTGCTGGAAGGATTCTTTTTGGATAGCTATTTTGATGGCTTCCACACCTTCAAAATGAGCCCCCTTGATGATTCCCTTGAGCTTGGAGAAAAAAGATCATGGGGGGGTTCCAGTATGGCGATGTACTTCTCGGCCAGGAACTGGTAGATTCTCAGGGCATTGCGAGCAGGTGCATTGTTATGGTGAAACAACCACAACACTCGTCTCTTCTTGCACACTGAGCAAAGCTAACACCACAGGATCTCTTTGTAGACTTGCAGGCTGATTGTCTGGCACTGTGGCAAGAACTCACTCTGGATGATGTCTCTCACACATCAAAGAATGGATAAGTCCCATTAATTTTCAGACAAACCTCCTATATATTCACTGAACATTTTTTAGGATTTACTCATAAAATGAATTGGGGGCTAGTTAAGATTTATATCTTTCAAGTCTATGTCTACTAGAAGCATTCAAAATATTTATTACAGGGGAAAAGCATGTTCAGTATATTCATTGCCATCAAATCACTGTTAAGAAAGTTCGCCTTTGGTAAGGTTCATTGTAAAAGCATTACAATTAAGCAATTTTTTAATGGGTTCTAATTTAATTGATCAGCATATCCAAAAACATTTTTTTTTAAATAGGGTAAAAGTAAATTCCAAAGAAGAATCAGTAATATTATTGGCCCTGACATCTCATAAAGTTGCTTCCCTGTGCTTTTTCTAAATACTTTCATGGTAAGTGTTCAGATGAACGCTTTCCTATGGTATCTAAAATTTATGAATTTAAGCACAGTACTAGATTGGCGATGTGGTCCCATAAATTTACAGTTGGATAGATGTAACTGTAAGTTCTATACTAACAGTTTCTTCTCTGGCACTTGTTGCTTTTGAAATTCTTTTCTGGCTCCATGTTTTCTGACCAACTTCGATCTACAAAAATTTAAATGCAATGTCAATCGTTATCTATTGTCGTCCTAATTACTCTTCTATTGTTTTCGTTCCTTCATAATGTCTTTGTTTTCTAATTCTTATTAAATGTTTTAATTGTGTACAGATGTTTATCTCATCTTTCATTTATGATTATTCAGTTTTATATATATATATATATATATATATATATAGAGTAATGCTGATATTAGTACCTGGTGAGAGAGACATAATTAAATATCTAATCCTAGCACCACATTGATGATAAATTATGACGGACACATAAAAATATAACACACTATTCCAGCTCCAAGCTTTCCAGCCAAATTTCATCTTCAAAAATCTCAATGCAATATCAATCATTATCTGCTGTCTTCTTGATTACTCTTCTCTCATTCTTGCTCCTTCATAATGTTTTGGTTTTCTAATTCTTCCATAGCCTCTAACCCAATGTGACTTTACTACCTTAATTGGGGTGAATTCAATTAAAAATATTTATTGTAAACAAATTCCATTTTAAAGGTTTTTATTTCTTCCATTATGCACATTTCAACCTGTTTATCTATTATGGAAATTTCTAGAATCAGATTATGTTGTGTCGGAAACCTACCACCCCTCTTGAAGATGAACTTGTCTGCGTCTGTGAACAAAGACTTTAAATAGTGGCATGTCAGTTGACACGAAGAAGATAGATAGACAGAGAAGTTCTTAGCTGAGCTAGTTATTGACTACTCAGGCGATTTCTATACCTTTTTACCAACCTATTAAAACCCTTTTCATTGTTACGTGTTGTTTGGCGTTTGTCTCTACTAACCCCAAATCAACATCATAACAGATTATATACAAATTATAAAATCTAACGAATTTAAACAGTTGGTTGTTTTTGTTTAGCAGCATATCAACACCTTTATTTTAATCCTGAAATGTAATTATTTTTACATTTTTTTTTGAGATAATAATGGTTTTAGTGATACGAGTCCTACTAATTAATCCATAGCTGGGGGAGAAGAGGTGGATTCATACCTTTCACAAGGGTATTTGCGTATAAGTGAATGTAATGAGATCAACAGAAATTGGAACTAAGCTCTCGAATTAAGAGTTCCAAGCCATTATTCATTACACCACCTGCACATCCAAGCTTACAGCACCTTGCATTCCCAAGTGGTCAACCATCTAGGTACTGACCAGGCTCGACGTTGCTTAACTTTGGTGATCATATAGGATCCAGCACTTCAATATGATGCGGCTGTAAGGCAATTTTATATGTTGAAGTTTTCTCATGGTGATTTGATAGCAGTGAACTTACCTAGTGGGAAAAAAAAACAAAAAAAAAAAAAACAGAAATCTTAAAACATCCCCTCAAAAGATAACTGTCTCATTGAATACGTGGGTTTTGTCTTGGTAAATATGGCTATAATGACAGTAGAAACTGCGTAATGAAAATAATTATTACATATCTGTGAAGTTGACAACCTTAAGCATTTCCAGCAAGGCCAGTTATTTAAAACAACAAAAAAAAAAACAAAAAAAAACAAAACGGGGAAGGCTACTTTCATCTTGAATATATTAAGACTTTTACTATAAAGAAACTTTAATTGCACAACCCTTAATCTTGGTTACAATAGTACAGACAATAGGCATTTATTTAATTTTTTTTTTTTACTGTAGACCTTCATTCATTTATTTCTCTTTCATGTTTAGATTGTCACTTGATCCAAGAAAAAATAAAACACACAAGATACCCATTTTCTTCAAAAAAGACACAAAATACCCATTAAAATTTAAAAAAAAAAAAAAAAAAAAAAAAAATTAGCTGTAAATTAAAAACCTGAAACATTTTTAAAAACATTAAAAAAAAATTTTTTTTTTTTTTTTTTTTTTTAAAAGGTTCCATTCTTTTGAAACTGTTACCATTCCTGTATACTAAAAAAATAAGTAGCTTGATGCAAGTTTTATTTTTGATTTTCAGGTACCCAGCTTCCTGGACAAAAATTTAAAAAAAAAAAAAAAATAAATAAATAAAATAAAATAAAATAAAAAATTGAGTATACTATTGGCAGATATGACATCATATCTACCTAACACAGAAATTCACCTACCCACCCACTTGCAATAAAAAGAGCATTTTCTAACCAGTGTTAAATATTCTTGATTCACATCAGTGACAAAATTATCAAGACATTTAAAAAAAGAAGAAAAAAAAAGGAAAAAAAAAAAAAGAAAGAAACATTCCAGTTAAACAGTTAAAGTTTCTCTAAAGGTGTTAACCTGAGATTTCCGATAAAAATCACTCCGATGTTGTGATTTAAAAAAAAAAAAAAAAAATTCAATATATAAACTAGGAATTTTTGTTTTTTTTTCTTTTGTAGTCTTTGCCTCTAAACGTCATGAACAGATGAATTTTGGTGGATGTCTTACAGCAGCAGAAGACTATGTCCGAGTCACAGACAGAAAAGGACAAAAAAAAAAAAAATGGATGCTTGTCTGCTTCATGCAGTTATCCAATGGAAGATAGAAACACAGTAGAATTCTTAATGAAAAAACAGCTGTCTATTGCGTTTGGCTTGCCACCAGTTAGGCTCTACCCAGCAATAAGAACCTGTGATCGTAGATGCATTGTATTGGAACTGACAGCTAAGAAATCGACCATTAACCTAGAGAGAGAGAGAGAGAGAGAAATTTTTTATACTCATTCACTTCTTCTTCTTCCAAACATTTTCATCTTTGTTGATTTTTTTTTTTTTTTTTTTCTTGTGTTTTGCTTGAAACAGAGTGTTTCCCGAATCTCCTTGGTAGACAGTCACTCTGTGAATATAAGAAAGATGAGGGGGCCATGGGCTGCTTTAAAGTGGAAGAAAGAGTGAAGTAGATGTTTTTCTTTTCTTTTTTTTGCGTGACAATGTTAAATACAAAACCATAAGAAAGTCACTTAAGAGTAAAGTTGACTGAATATCAGGAAGTAAGTCGTTTGACGTTGGTCATCAAAAATAATAAATGGTGGCAATGTAAGCTAAAAAAAAAAAAAATTAAAATTAAAAGGTAGCTAAGATTTGTTTTGAATGCAGCAAAAGGTGTTTTAGTTTCAAAGTAAACTGCTATGTTAGAAATCTATGTTGGTGAATACTAAATCTAGTAATGTGATGTAATTGGTAATATGGCCGTATTGTTGAACGAAATGGGGGGGGCGTGGGAGTCAAGTGGATAGAGAAATCAGTGAAGCAGCAATACATAAAAAATGTCGCCTTCAGGTTTGTGCAATATCTGTCCAGGACACACACACAAAAAAAGTTCTTTTTATAATATTCTGTGTTGCTATAAACACTATATTTAGAGGGTGAATGTGTTTGAATTGACGTTCCTATCATTTTGAATCATGAAATTCTTGTTGATCAGTGCAGAGATTAAGAAATTGTACTAAGCACAAAAACAAAATGTGGCCCCTGACAGGAATCAAACCTGTATTCTTTTTTCCCATCAGCTAAACTACTTTCAAGCCAATTTTGCCTTGATAGTTTGCTGTAGCCTAATTGGTAAACCACATTCAGCTTAAAGATGGTTTTCCTGATGGGAAAAAGGTAATATAGGTTCAATTCATGTTAGGAGGCACATTTTCTTCTGTTGCACTTTTTGATCTCTGAGCTGGTTGACATTAATTTTATTGTTTAAAATAACTGGGATGTCTACTCAAACAATTTCACCAACTAAATATGCCGTTTATTGTAAGAAGAACTAATGTTGGATTAATAACATCCATTGTTTCAAAATATTCTATTATTAGTAAAACTAATATTGTTCTTATATTATGGTGTTGTAATTAAACTAATATTCTTTATTATATTCAAACCATTCTTCTCATTTTGGTTGTTATAGATGTTATTATAGATGCAACGTTTCGGCCAAGTACCCTCTATCATCTTCAAGTATCTGTTATCTGTGGCGATGCCAGTTTTTTGCTCATTCCTGCTAAACCAGTGCACACTGTTTCACTACTTGACCCAGGGACTGAACTTACGATCATTAGATAACATTAACACATGTTTAATCAACCCCTATATCAACTATGCCAACATCCCAAATGATAGCAGTTGGGGATTTTTTGGAGCTTTTATAGTCAATGTCAGATGGCCTTAGTTATCATGACACGTTTGTATTGCCTTTGATAATTTTGGTATTTCATTTTTCAAACGAGGAATTGTCAACAAATTTTTATTCAAGCTATTGTACCTATCTTGATTATAGCAAATGTTGTTGTTGTTGTTATATATTATAGACACAATGTTTTGGTCATGTACCTGCGTCAGCCAAACAATGGATACCTGAAGATGGCCAGATGGTACTTGGCCAAAAAATCATGTGTATAAGTCTATAATAATTAAAATGGCAATAATGGTTCAAATAAAGTAAAATAGACCAATAATGTTGAATCCATTTTCATAGAGTATTGCTGATGTCAAATAAAATTTTTGTGCTTTCTGTCTAACCCACTCTTTTCCCCACTAATTTGTGAGAAAAGAGTAGTTAAGAGAGAGAGAGAGGAAAAAGAGTGGTTAAGAGAGAGAGAGAGAGAGAGAGGAAAAAGAGTGGTTAAGAGAGAGAGAGAGAGAGAGGAAAAGTGGTTAAAGAGAGAGAGAGAGAGAGAGGAAAAAGAGAGAGAGAGAGAAAGAGAGGAAAAAGAGTGGTTAAGAGAGAGAGGAGAGAGAGTGGAAAAAAGAGAGAGAGAGAGAGGAAAAAGAGTGGTTAGAGAGAGAGAAAAAAAAGTTAGAGAGAGAGGAAAAAGAGTGGTTAAGAGAGAGAGGAAAAGAGTGGTTAAGAGAGAAAAAAAGAGGGTTAGAGAGAGAGGAAAAAAGTGGTTAAGAGAGATTGGAAAAAGTGGTTAAGAGAGTGGAAAAAGAGTGGTTAAGAGAGAGAGAGAGAGAGGAAAAAGAGTGGTTAGAGAGAGAGAGAAAAAAGAGTGGTTAGAGAGAGAGGAAAAAAGTGGTTAAGAGAGAGAGGAAAAAGAGTGGTTAAGAGAGAGAGGAAAAAGAGTGGTTAAGAGAGAGAGGAAAAAGAGTGGTTAAGAGAGAGAGGAAAAAGAGTGGTTAAGAGAGAGAGGAAAAAGAGTGGTTAAGAGAGAGAGAGGAAAAAGTGGTTAGAGAGAGAGAGAGGAAAAAGTGGTTAGAGAGAGAGAGAGGAAAAAAGTGGTTAGAGAGAGAGAGGGAAAAGAGTGGTTAGAGAGAGAGAGAGGAAAAGAGTGGTTAGAGAGAGAGAGAGGAAAAAGAGTGGTTAAGAGAGAGAGAGGAAAAAGAGTGGTTGAGAGAGAGAGAGAGGAAAAAGAGTGGTTGAGAGAGAGAGAGAGGAAAAAGAGTGGTTGAGAGAGAGAGGAAAAAGAGTGGTTGAGAGAGAGAGAGGAAAAAGAGTGGTTGAGAGAGAGAGGAAAAAGAGTGGTTAAGAGAGAGAGGAAAAAGAGTGGTTAAGAGAGAGAGAGAGGAAAAAGAGTGGTTAAGAGAGAGAGAGAGAGGAAAAAGAGTGGTTAAGAGAGAGAGAGAGAGGAAAAAGAGTGGTTAAGAGAGAGAGAGAGAGGAAAAAGAGTGGTTAAGAGAGAGAGAGGAGCGGGAGAGAGAGAGAATGAGATAAAAGGGTGGGAGAGTCAGAGAGATAAAAGGGCGGGAGAGTCAGAGAGATAAAAGAGCGGGAGAGTCAGAGAGGGAAAAGAGCAGGTGGGAGAGAAAGGCGAGAGAGAGAGAGAGAGTTTGGGTGAGGTTAGAAAGATGGAAAAGACTGATTCTCTATAACTACTCACAAATAATATCTGACAGCATCATACTGCATATTTTATGAACATTGATGTTAAAACATAACTAACCAAATTGGTATGGAAGTTTTTCCACACATTTCTACCTATTATTAATATTGGTTTTATGTACGTGGTAAGCAAGTGGCGGTAATTCCTTATCCCGGCCCACTTCGCTCTGACTCAGCATTTCAATAGACAAACATTAGAATTTTTTCTTTCTTTTTTTTTTTTTTTTGTGGGGGAGACTTTAAAGAAAGTTGAGAAATGATGTGTCAAGTCTGTTAAACTGTAGGGTGACTATGTAGAACTGCATGTACATTCCATGGCTCCCAGGATTTGTGGGGGTGGGGTTACAACTTTTCAGCCCCCACCCCTTTCTTATTTTTTTTAAAAAAATGTGCCTATTCATAACTTGACTTTTTATTATTTGACAATTATAATAAATAGTTGTGATTATTCAAACCACATACTATGAACGTTTCCCAGTTAAACTGTGTCTAGAATTCTGCAATGAGGCGTTGTTGTTACTATTATACATTAATTCTGTCATCATTGTTCTTTTTATCACATTGTTTCGACTGCAGTATCATTTGGCCTTCTTCAGGTGTCTGTTACATTTGGTAATCTGGCACTACTGAAGGTGACGGGTCCACTTGCAAAAAACAGGGAAAAATATTTGGAGGGAATAATTTTTGCTGATTATCATTTGTTAGACCTTCCTCAAGCCATGGCATTTGTCAAAGAAAAAAAAAAGATATTTTATCAATTTAGAAGAGGGGGATCTGTTTATATTATAAATACAGTGTCAAATGAATCCTTGACTATTTTTTAAAGAATTATCTGTACTTTGTTTTTATTTACAAATATCAAATTTGAAACTGTGCTGATATCATTGATAATTGTGGATGATTGATGTTGTCTTTTTCTCCACATTTCATAGTAGTAGACAGTTATCAATGAACACAAGCAAGGTTTGAAACTCGACATCTGTAAATAAAAATGAGGTATAGATAACTCTGAAAAGTTGGGACTGTTTTGAGGATCTTCTAGAATGATTAAAAAAAGAAAATCAATATTTTTTTTTAATTCTGACAAATTGTGTAGACAAAGGAAGATCTAATGAATGCTAAACTAGAAAAATTCTTAAAAAAAAAATTTCCCGAATTTCTTGATGAGTAGACCAGCCAACTTCAATAGTGACGGTAACTTTATACGAATGCTGAAGAAAATGCTTTGATTTATTAGGGTATATAATCTGCCTTCCTTGACCTTTGATGTCTGGTGTGGGGGGGGGGTCCTTCATACAGAACCACACCGAGTGGATAAAACCACGGCTAAAACCAATTTGCTTCTCTTGAGGCTCTGGGTCAGGCAGAAGAACAACATAGCTGTTCAGTGGAAAAGACAGAAGGACTGAAAGTTCTGAAATTTCCGAAGGGTGCAGGACATGAGTATAGAATTGAGACCCCAATAAATACCCCTGCAGATCAAATAGAAAGTTTAGTCTAACGTTCCTTACAGAACACAGCAGAGACCAGAAGAGCAATTGAAGGTACAACAGCTGAAAAGTGATGACGACAACAACAAAAACAACAATGGGGAAAACTAGTTTGAAAGAATCAATGTATAATAGTAAACTGCTACCTCTGTTCCATAACAGCTGCTGTATGGATGTGTCTTCAAACCTTACAACTATTATGGGATAGCAGTAGCAATGTTAGGTATTTGAATCAAGGTGTCTGTAGAGGTATATTTTTGGTGTGATGTTTATGTGTAAGAGAGAATGAGGTGAAGAATTAGACAAAACCAGATCTGGTGGCCCTCCCCCTTCTGTTACCATCACTTAAACAATCGGTAAGCATATGGCAGGAGTAGAGAAGATAGCTGGCCAGCCAATAGCTGGATGGGTCAGCACCCTTAATTGAGACCACATTGTGTTTCATTGTTGTGCATGTAACAAACAAAAGGCAACTTATGGCATGGATGACCACACGACTTCCTCAGTCCTTCTGCCGTTGTTCCATAGTTTTATTTAAATGTTTCTTCATCCTATTACACGTAAGTATACGACTTTATGATCTCTGTCCTTCGCTGTGTATCAACGTCTGTCGACACCGAGATTGTGGACACCGTGTGGGAGCCCATCTCTCCTGTGCCGCACAGTTCCTTGATGGACTGTACATGGTATTTGACTTGCTCAACACCAAGCACGACCCCTGCCCGCACTCGATTTGCAGCATAACTACTTGACTCCCGCAGAGATTGCACATAATAGCTACCAGTATCCCTAATGGAGTGCATATACTGGCTACTCGTGTCTCGTATTGTCTGTACATGCCACCGCATCTTCAACATTCTTCTTTCAACTCCGTCCATGAGGCGTGCTCTCACTTCATCGAGCGTCTCACGGATGTTCATATCTGCAGAGCCCTTCTCGTAATATTCTGAGCCAGCCACAGGTGTAGTACACTTGAGTGGGGAAGCCCCTGGGGAATGGTCCAGGTACGGTATGGAACCAAATGAAGAAAAATCTGAATTGGTGCAACTGCTGATCTTCTCAATTTCAGTCGACGTATTCATCTCTGTTGGCTGAATCTCCGGATCCTTAACGGACACCTTGCTGCACTTCTGGTTGCGCTTGTGGATCACGTGGACAAGAAGACGGATTGACCCAAGGATTATTCCTAAAACTAAGAAGCACAGAGATGCTCCAAAACTGACAATCAAGCTCATGGTGTAAACAGAAGGAATGAGGGAGTAAATAGTGAGAACAAGTGTGGCGGAACTATTGCCCAGGGAATTAATGGCAAGGCAACGGAATCTCCCCCCAAAATAACCACGCAGATTTTGGATGTAAAGAGAGCCATTGCTGGTGACATAGACGTCGGAAGTATATTTGGAGTCAGAATAGGTGTACGTCATGTGTATGGGCTGGGAAATAGATGTTAGCAAGTGCAAATGAACGTTATGGGCAAACAGGTCACCCCAGGGTGTTACCCAGACAATGCTGGGGCAGGGTGAACCGGTTGCATTGCAGTCAAGCCGAATGTTTTTGTGGCTGATTATGGACACGTTGCTACTTACAAAGGACATGACGGGGCTTTCGCAAACAAAGTCTGAAGAGTTTAAAAGAGAAACTTTGTAATTAGCAAGGGAAGGTGGGGAATGGCAGGTGAGGTTTTCAAAATCACTAAATGGCTCCGGGTTACTATCGTAAAGTTCTACAAATGGAAAAATGGCACAGGAACAGTCCAGAGGATTTTCTTCAAGAAGCACCTGATCGAGATTATTAAAAGATTGTAAAACGTCTTCATGGAACGTTCGAATATGGTTATATCGCAGGTCAACAGATCTGAGGACGCTGCTATTGGCAAATGTGAAAGAAGAAACATGGACTAAAGAATTATTTGACAAATCAATAACATGAAGATTTTGCAGTGGTGTGAATATATGGCCAGACAAGACTTGCAGGTAATTCAGGTTGAGCTTCAGATGAACGAGATGTGTAAGGTTCGAGAAAACGCTGTCGGTTAATACCGTGATTTTATTATGGCTTAAATCCAAATAGACAAGATTGTATAAGCCCCGGAACGCATCCTTTGAGACGTTGTAAATCTTGTTGTAGCTGAGATCCAGAGATAACAGGTAGTTGAGTCCAAGGAATGAATTAGCCAGGATTTCCGTGAGCTCATTGAAGCTAAGGTCTAAAGTCACTACATCTGAGCGCCGAGCAAAGACAGGCGGCATTTTCTTAAGGTTTCCATGTACTGTGACGTTACGCACACCAGGAGGGATGTCCAGTAAATTATCAATATCATAACATTCGAGCAACCGGCTGATATTGCATGAACAGCCAGTTTGGCACCCAGTCACTAGTGCAATCAATGTTCCCACCAACTGCAGAACACCCAACCAGTAAACAAGGCAGCAAGAAGACTGATGCATGGTTAATCACAAGGTTTTGAGGGGGTCACCACTGGAAAGAAACAAAAGCAAATATCAATCACAGTAAAAAAATAGTAGGGGAACAATTTTAGATAATGTACACACTATATATCCTTATTACTTAAATGTTATTTTTAGTGGATATTTAAATAGATGCTCCATTTATTTATTAAACATAGTATATATATATATATATATATATATATATATATATATATATATATATATATATTTTTTTCCATCTACCAGCCTAAGTATTTGTGAAATCTTATTAGAGAAAAACATGTGCTCTCTGGCAGGATTTGGAAAACCGTCATTAGATCTGATGTACTACAGCTAAATCTGAATTGTGCCTTTAAAAACATGCTTGGTCATCGATACACTCTGTAGCGGAGAGGTCATGGCACATCAGATCTAATGATGATTTCCCCTCGGAGAGTGTAGCTTTGAATCCTGTCTGATAATAACGAGAAGACATTTTTCTATTAAGTTTTCTTGAATATTTAGACCGGTAGGCAGAAATAAAGTAGTGGAGAGTCTACTCAAATATGAGTAGCCACTAAAAATAACGTTTAAGTAATAAAAATCTGTTAGACTAATGAATAAAAAATCCATCCTTCTCCCTATATATATATATATATATATAGGGAGAAGGATGGATTTTTATTAATTATATCTCCCTATATATATATATATAGGTAATATTAGTGGTAAATATATACATACATATACAAAATATATAAATACCAATACATGTATATTTTTTGAATAAAAATTCCAAGAGGATAGAATCCAGGTAGAACTCAATGTCCAGGACAGAGTAAGGATATAATAAAAAGGCTTAAACACTAATATTCCATGGTCATAATTTATTCCATTGGATAAATTATGACCATGGAATATTAGTGTTTAAGCCTTTTATTTATATATATATATATATATATATATATATATATATATGATAAGCAAATATAAATGGATATAAATCCGACAGAATGAAGAAAATATCTGGAAAAACAAAACAAAAATCCTTAAAATGCGATTATGTTGTTTTAATATGAATGAAAGGTTGACGTCTGACGTTTCAGTTTAATAACCTTTTTCAGGACAATAAAAATACAACAAAATTTAAATGATCAGCTTTCCGTTTGAGCGTGGTCACGTTGTCGTCAAATGGGCGACGCTTTCAAAACGTATTTGACGACAACGTGACCACGCTCAAACAGAAAGCTGATCATTTAAATTTTTCATTTATCTGCTTTGGATAAGATTTGTTTTTATGTCCATTGTTTTCGTCGTGTTATACTGATTATGTTAATTGTATTTTTAATGAATATTGTCCTGAAGAAGGTTATTAAACCGAAACGTCAGACGTCGACATTTCATTCATATTAAAACAACATAATCGCATTTTAAGGATTTTTGTTTTGTTTTTCCAGATATTTTCTTCATATATATATATATATATATATATATATATATATATATATATATATTATTTGAAAATTAAGAGGTCAGGATAATTCTATCAACTGACCATCCAATGCTTTATTTTTTTTTTTTTTTTTAAAAAGACAAAGAACGCTGCATTATTATTTTTTTCAAAAAAGTAAATAAACAAACAAAAGCACTATCGTCAAAAGCATCACATTGAGAGTAAATAGAAAGGAGTGGAGTAAGGAGAAGGAAAAGAAGAAGGGTGAAGAAAACAAGAGAAAAAAAGAAAGCAAGTTTATGTTAAATATATAAAGAAAAGAAGTAGAAAAGAAAAGCAAGTGTAACGTAAATTTGAAGAGGGGTGTCTTGTAAATATAGGGAAGGATGGGGGTGGGGAAGCAAACGCATTGTAAACATAGCAGGTGGCTTTAAATTACACTTTTTTTTATCTGACCTCATATTCACTTAATAAAAATTTTTTGAGATGAAGGCAAGGACTTAAGATTTCAGATCTCTGGTTTCAAAGGTTTTTTGGATCTGGAAATGTCTTTTGGTCGACTCGTCAGGAAGTATCAACAGAAATATCTCTGACATAATGGTAAGACATTAATGGCAATGGTGTCTTCATCTGCCTAATGTCTTACCATTATGTGGGAGGTATTTCTGGGAAGTTTATGTAGGAGGCATTTCTGCTGCACCCTGTATATATAAAGACAAAAGGGAAATTTTGTCTTAGCCAACATGTTTCGTCTTCTGATAGATTTTATTAAGGCAAAGGTGAGGATTTTATTTTTGCCACATATATTTATACCCAGAAGTAAAAATACTAATTTTTAGATTTTTTTTCAAATTTAAGAAGGGTCATAAATATGCACGGGAGTGTAATGGATAGTGGCTCGGTTTGAGAAATCGGAAAGCCGAGTTTGAATTCCAGTGGAATCCATTACATTCACTTACGTACTAATACCCTTGGGAAAGGTATGAATCCTCTTCTTCTCCCTCCAGCTATAGGTAAATAGCAGGACAGACTGAGTTCTATTGCCTTGGATGGCAACTAGTCTACTGCAGAAAGAAATAGCAACCTACTACAGGAAAAGTCATGTATCGAAAGATGCATGATTGCCTAAGCGTGTATCACGTATGGCACATAACTAATATAAATAAGTATCAGACTAATGGTAAGTCAAGGTAAATTATGGAAGATGCTAAGTGATATAATTTAATTTTTTAAAATCCTTGCATAAAGTCCATCAGAGGACGAAGTGTGTCAACTAAGATAAGTTTTCCTTTTGTCTTTATTCACATTGTCCTTCTATAGATATATTTTTAATTATATATGAATTTTCCCGCATATATATATATATATATATATATATATTAGTTAAAGCCACTAAAACACAAGGGTTTATAGGGTGTGCAATAATTACAAACAGAAACATTAATAATGAGTGGAAAGAGAAAAAAGTAATCGGAAGGATAGTTGATAGCAATTGACATTGCATTTAAATTTTTGCAGATTAAAGTTGGCTGGAAAGCATGGAGGCAGATGGGAGTTCCACAAGTGAGAAGTGTGAGAAAAGAAACTGTCAGCATAGAAGTTACGGCTACATCTAGCCAGCTCAAATGTAAATTGATGAGATCTTGCCACCAAGTCTAGTTACTGCTCTTAAATTAAAAAACTCTTGGTACCATAGTGAAGAGCTTAGCTGCCAGATAAGGACCAATAATTTTGCAGATTCTTCTTTGGATCTTATCAAGGAGCTCAAGGTAAATATCAGGAGCACTGGACCATGTGTGGCAGCAATATTCTAAGCATGGATGAATGGTTTTTATATATATTATAAATTAATTGATTTAAAATATGTTTTTTTTTTCGCTACACAGTTCTAACCATGTTTCAAAAATGGAAGCTAAAAGCTACGAATTTAATTTTGTAATTAAATTAAAGACATTAGTTCCATTTCATCCTCAAGCGAATTTTGGAGTAACTTTTAAAATTTTAAAAGTTACTCCAAAATTTTAAATCAATTAATTTATAATATTAATGCTCTGTAACTTTACATTGAGCACTATTTTGTAAAAATAAAAATATCTATAAGAACACTGGATTATATATCTTACTGTTCTTTCTTATATTATATATATATATATATATATATATATATATATATATAAATTAGGGGAAAAACTTTTTGTGATGCATTTCATCTATTTCAGTAGACTGGGTTTTATTGATTTTGCTATGAGATGTGCATGAAATGAGAAATGCTGGTAATTTCAAAATTTTTTAAAGAATAATTTTAAAAGAATATATAATTTTTTTGTTTGAAAGAATATTTTTTAATCTAACCAAATTCATCTGTATTCTTTTTCTCCCCATCACCTTTATCCCTGACTAGCAGTAGAGCTTGGCATTGCCCGGGGATGTAACAGTAAGAGATAGATCAAGTATCGACCATAATAAAGACTGAAAAATAAAATTGACAAAGATTATTGTTTAAGGTTGACGGACACGTATGTCTTAATTAGTTTTTTTTTTTATGAATTGGTCAAACCCAAACAAAAACATTGTTTTCAATCCTTATGAGTCTACCGATTGAATAAAATTTTATTATAAACAATTGTCTTGTAAATGGAATTTTTAAAGCATTCTGAATGTAAAAATAAAGAAAAAAGTGTGCAAGACAATAAGAAACACTACCTGCCAAAAAAAAGTGAAGTTTTGTTGAAATCGGTTGAAAAATGTAGGAAATCCAATCCCATATATAAAACGAACACACAAACAACCTGGGTTTTAAGTATAACTCGATATGAGTTGTCCCCTTTCATTCTGCCGACAGCGATGCCTCTTAATCGTGTTTTCAAATTGATTTCATGCAAAAACAATTGTGTTTTTCCAATTTTTGGAACTGTCAGAACCACCGCAAGGTAATTTTATATAGTCCAGTGAAGTTTTGTTGAAATCGGTTGAAAAATGTAGTAAATCCGATCCAATATATAAACGTACAGACACACACACACACACACAATCTGCGTTTTATAATAAGTAAGATTATCCCACATTGTGACAACAGAAAATCTACCAAGAATGATGATATATTGTTTTGTATGCATGTGTAGATGTGGCAACATCAACAAAAACTTGTCTAATGAAAATCCTAATGGATGAAATGTGTTATAAAAACTTTTTTTCCAGTTTGTCTACTATTTTTCTAAATACTGTTTGTTGATATACAAAATTATATATATATATAATAAATATTTTGTTGAATATCAACAAGTTCTGTCTACCCAATTTTTGATAAACTTTTTAAAACTATATGAATTCATTGTTTACGAACGTTCATTTTTATTTTTTGTTGTACCCTTCAGAGTACTTTCGAATGTTGCTAACAATCATTTTCAAGGATTCATATTTATGTAGCTATATTATTGTATAAAATAATTGTATATTGAAGTGTATATAAAAAATTAAAATACGCATAAATGTTCGCTTTGATGGATGCAAATAACGACACCTTGAGTGACTTAAAATTGGTTTTGGCAAACAAGAAAACATGGGAAATTAACCAAAAACTGTTCAACACAATTGTC